ACAAGTTTGATCTATTTATTTACTATTTAGAGCAGCTGAATTCAAATAACAACAATGATATTGGAATGTATCACTATAACAATCTTTGTGTTCTTCAAACATGCCAACAGTCAATCTCACTGTGTTGGCACCTGCTATTCTGGAAGACTTTTCCCAGAGCCCCAAGACATCTTCCATGGAAAACATCTCAAGGGATACTCCTACAACAACATCACCACTGATGATCCAGTCAAGTGCTACTCATCTTGTGTCCAAGATTGTCGTTGTAAGGCGTGTCAAATGAAAGATGCAAGATGTGAGTTGCTGGATGAGGACAAGACTTCCAAAACCTTAACAGATGAGCTAGGATACGTGTACTTTGATCTGAAGCAGACAATGTACAAAGGGGTGAGAAGCTTTGTGTATTGTTTTTTTTATTAGGTGCTATTTCAACATAATGTCACTTATTATTGTTTTTTCGTTTGAATAGCACCGACCCCCGATGGTCTCTCAAGGTTGTTATAATGGCTGCTGTCGATCTCAGCCCTGTATGAACGGAGGGACATGCGTAGAGCATTGTAACTCACCCAAAAATAAATTTACCTGCATTTGCCAGAAATGGCATCACGGGAAAATATGCGAAAAGACAATTTCATCGTGCATGGATGTCAGGAGTGCTTCATCAATGATTCCTAAGGATGGTGTGTACGAGCTCAAACGTTTCGACAATCGAGCCATCATTCCAGTTTACTGTGCTTTTCAGGATGATCCAAGGCAGGCTTGGACTCTTATTGAGTCCTTTTCCAGGAATCAAAGCTTATTTAAAGGAACACCTTTTTACATAGGTAACACCCAGAATAGAAATTTACCACCAAGCTGGGACCTATTCAGGTTAGGTTTACTCAGAGTGCAGTATTTCCGTCGCAGGTCCACCTTGTTCAGAGCAACATGCGATTTCCCAAACAGAATGTCATTGACACCTGACCTTCTGATTGGTAGGTTGAGTGACGTGGACATTATAAACGAAAAAGACATTGCAGGATGTAGAAGGTACAAGTTTATTGACATAAGGGGACACAACTGTACGAATTGCACAGCTAATACACGTCACGGAACATCATTTTCGTGGCACTTTCATCTTGATATTACTCATCAAGGAGATGGTTGCGATTTCCATCCACCAGTCACTGTACAAGATGCTGATAATTTTGGATTTTATGATGATATTGATGGAGCATCGAAATGCACTGCAACACCCCAGTCTACCACACAGTGGTGGTTAGGAGAAGAGAAATAATCAAAATACACTGCAACACCCCCAGTCTACCACACAGTGGTTAGGAGAAGAGAAATAATGAAAACACACTGCAACACCCCAATCTACCACACAGTGGTGGTTAGGAGAGGAGAAATAATGAAAATACACTGCAACACCCCAGTCTACCACACAGTGTTTAGGAGGAGAATCAAAACACATTTGAGATCAAAAAAACTGCAGTGGTTTGTGTGCTTTCAAAAGCAGCAATGTCGAAAAACAAAAAGGAAACATAATGCTTAGAAAGTAAAGTTTCACTGTTTTGGACTGTTTTCACGCTATCAAAACTCACTTTTCAGAACTAGATTGCCTCTATCACATGGATGTGTAAGTGATGTAATTTATATAACAGAATACACCATTAGTTCAATACTTTTTCTGTGTTTAATCGCCATTGTTTTGAGAACATTTGATAAATAGTATATGATTGAATCATATGATATCATGATGTATATTATGTCTAATTCATTTCAAGTGATAGTGTCACGTGATCTGAGCCCGTTCTCTTTGCGCATTGCTTGGGCATAGGGTAAGTTCACCTCCAGCGGGTATTGTTGCCATGGGAGTGATCCCAAYTCTGTTTAATGTCCGGGTTTGGAATGCGCATGCGCAAAACTTTGACATAAAAGCTACTCTGAAATCATTCATTCTTGAAATATAGATAAAAATATTCAGCCCTGAGTTTGTGTACTGAAGAAATTTCATTATGAATACAATGTTGATATCAACCTTGCACTGAGCACAAAACATTTCCATCGATGCAAGACACTGATGAGGCACCCATGTCACGAGCGATGCTAGCGTGACAATCATCAGCGTGACATTTGTCTTTTTGTCACGCTGTATAGCGGTACGGTATGGAAGCCTTGAGCTTTTTCTTATTTTCCAACCAATTATAGCATATGATACAAGTATTGTTATTACTGCCAGACTGGGAATAACAATAAAACAAAGCCAAAATACAAAGTTGCAATAGTAACATTGAATGATGTCGATCATCGTTACCAAGGTCGCGATGAACCATGGGAAGGCTATGAATACCGAGTAATATTTGGTACTCATTCTACGATGATGTAAAGGCCATAGAATGGATATACACCGTTCGACTGAGATTCCAGCCAGGCCAACAACTGATGCAATCCCTGCGAAAGTATCACAAGCACTCATTAATCTTTCAGTTGTCTGAGTCTGTACGTAGTAAAGAAAGTATTTCACCGCAATGAAGTCCACAAACCCAACCAACATGTCGGCAACGGCTAAGTTTATGATAAGATAGTTTGAACGTCTGCGAAGAGACTGGGTCCTTACGTAGGTAAYAATGGAGGCAAGGTTACCAAGTACTATGACGATTCCTAAGATTATTAATGCAGTAACTTGGGTAACTATGACAGMCTTGCTTCGAGGATCAGACGGAATGCAGTCGGCACCACTACAGTCTTCTCTACAGTACTCTTCGTTGCAAACTTCATCGATGTGGAAATTATCGTCGATWATTACACCTGATGAAAAGATATTTGACAACTATTACAGTCCGAAAAAAGATCGTCCCAATTGACCCCTACCTCGCATGTCAAGGTACAAACCAGGAAAGAAGCAATACTTGGACTAAATCCCTTTAATGTTAATAATCCCCTTTCAATGACGGTTTGCATGGCAAAAGGCAAGAGAAATAACCTTGGGACGAATCATTGCACGCTATTTKACCAATCAGAACCCACGAAATTAGAACGAATCTACATTAACCACATATATAACTGATTTTAAGAGGTAAAGGATTATACTTACAATTTGTCGATGGTGGCAGCGACGGATAACACGATATGTTATTCATTGATTGTTTTCTGTGTAAAAGACGATGACTGTAGCGTGAAGAACTCATGTAAACAACGTCTTCAGTAGAGTCAATTTCGTAGAGTGGGAAACAGACGGTACTGTACTGTGACCGTAATCGTACTGTAACCAAATTCTTRYGTCTCATTGCTTCACAAAAATTGTGACTGTGCGGTAACCGTGCGGTAATTTCTACCGTACGTTTCCCACTCATACGAAATTGACTCTAATAGCCTAGTATTTACTTCACTGTAATTCAGTGATTTATCATTCAAAATTGACTGAAATCACTTTAATTCTAACTCGTAACTTTTAATCTAAAGTCGAGAACCGCGCTWAAGTATTCTTCTTCCTTTCACCTGGAATATCCTCTTTTCTAAGCACTATAACTTTCCATTATTAATTTCCCATACTTCCTTGCAATGAAAACTTACATTTTTCAAAATGTACTGACAACATTACTTAAATGTGCTGTGGATGTTGAGAGATAATTACTACGTTTACTCTTCGACGTGATTCTAAATAGCCTGCAGTGAAATAATACTCTAAGATAAAGCAATTTGTACTCTAACATACACTGAGTTGCATTTGTTCGTTTAATTTTTTTGTTTCAACTTCCTATAATCCCTTTGATCTTCCGGTTGAGCAAGRATCCTATTTAGTACGTAGTTGTGCACTTAACTTCAAGAACAAGATTATCCCAAAGCYCTAGTGTATTTTCTAAGTAATGGGCTCAAGTCTGATGCCAAGTAARTTTGTTCAAAAAATTCTCAATTATTGAACGTGAAGTCTCGACATCCTTTAGTCTCAAAGATTAACGAAAGATCATTAAATGCTGTTAATTTTTGTTTACCTTTTTGAATTTGTATTAATTATAAAAGCAAAACATAATAGAAAAGAAAGATATGAATATGAAGACCGCATGGCACTATGATAAACACGATATAGAAATGAAAGAAAGTTATAGTGCTTAGAATAAATAAACACGATATAGAAAAGAAAGCTTTGAAAAGCATACAGAGAACGAAGCTGCCCCAGGAAAGTCTTTTTAATCACTGCTGAAATATTTGATTATAACGACCGCGCGGTACTTTTGATTTAAACAATATACTTTTTTAGAACAAGGAAGTAAAAGCCATCTTTTTTCTAAAAAAAGACTTCAATTTTCTTTGGGTTCAATGAATTATGATTATTATTTTGTATATTTAGAAGCGTCTTTTTTAACTATTTATTATTATCAGTTATAAATAGTGATTCTAGTTCAGTAACTTATGACTTTTATCAGCCTTTTTAGAACGATTTGACTTAATGGAGTTAAGATAGTGTTGAATGCTGATGAGTAGACAGTTGGTTTTATAAGGAGATGTGCTTTGTTCTCAATCGTGTTGTTGTGGGGACGTGAACTCTTAAAGCTTGTTGAAAAACATTGTTTTAAACTCAAAAAGCCGCGAAGAGTGTGGCCCTATATTTCRTGACTATTTTTGTACCTCGGCTATGAATTATATTTTCGAATTGTGAAGCGCACTGAAATTTCAACTAAACTGTGAAATATCTACMGGCTGGAGTGAAAAGTCAAAATGAGTTTTAGAAAAAAATACGAAATATCATAACATTCTACTATCTTTTAAAAAAATATGCAATATATTCACAAGAGCAAAAGTATCAGATCAGCAATTTGATATCAAAGCAAATTGGTTTAAAGTTGGCTAAAAAAAGCAATCGTTACATGTCATGAATGGCGTCATGTACAGTGCAAACGCGCGTTTCAAATTCATATTGAAAACCTTACTATGTCAGTCCYACATGCCTTGTTTTACAATATATTCCACAATAACGTAAATATTTGGACAACGAACGACAAAAAAATATCAATTTGTTGCCACTGCGACATTTAACGGGTATTCTATATTTCTCTTTAAACACATTTTGAAATAACAACATTGCGAATAAGGCAATTAGATTTTCATCTATCAATAAAGCAAAAATTAAAAAGTTTGATGAATCAGGTAAAGATAACTACGTTAACAAGTCGTACTTTCGGGTCGATGAACGAAGATTTTTTTAAAAGTTATATTTCTATAAAATACCTTTTGGCAAACGATGTCACATCAGTTCAATCTTGCAATGATTTCATTTCGACTCCAGCCGTTGTCCAGTRGAAAGTTCATTAAAACACAGTTGTGGCAACTGAACTAACAGAATCTACTACCGCTTACCGCTAGATTTCTTTGCGCAATGCGTCCGTTGTAACCTTCATTAGATTAGTGAAGTTGAACCTTTTCACTGTTGTCATATCAACCGATATCGTTTCGCCAATCATGTTACATCGTTACTTGCTTTTATACAATCAGTATTTACTTGGATATTTATGGGCGTCTAAGTCTAATAATCGCTTTATCTAGAGTTGGTAAATTAATAATTCAAGCCGTTCTAAAATAACGAACAGAATAGACGTGGGAAAGAGTGAAAAATATCCATTGTTTCTTTAAAAGGCATTGAAAGTGRATGATTTTTTTTCCATAACAATAAGTATTTTGTCACCTTCTCTTTCGCAGTGACTTTGTAGAGTGGTTGTAAAAAAGTTGTTCTCAAAGAGGGCGTTATTCTCTGTCAATGCAAAGGATTACTATACCAAGAATTTAATTCAATTGAATTGAATTGCACAGGGAGTAAACATGGTAACTGGAAGATCGTTATTCTCGAGGGTTATATTATATTTATTGCACTGAATATCTAAAAGTACRTCAGTGTACTACGTCTAATCGCCAAAAAATGTAAAAGAAACCCCAAAGAAACAGARCATTTATTTTTTAGTGGAAGAGGAATATATAATAAAAAAACTGCGAGGAAAAATTTCTTTGGTCTTTTATTTTGGGCTTGAGAATAATTTCGTGTATTTCTCTAGCTATGACAACGTTTTATTGCAATACGATGTATTTAACTTACAATTGATAGGTGTATCTTAAGTTACTCAAATACAGCTGTTATCAGATTGTAGTACAATTAGAATGAGAGCAAACAACTTTAAGATGCAAAAATTATGAAATAATCATCGAATCATAGCTAGGTAAAGGCGTGCAACCGAAAAGTCAAGCTATGGTTGACCTTCCTTGCAGTTTAATCAATTCGTCATTAGTAATGTGATGCTCATAATTGGACTTTCCACAAAATAGGACAAGGAACGCCTTGCGGAATTCTTTCATTCTTAAAATATAGATGAACACATTCAATCCTGAGTTGCAGAATTGAAGAAACTTCATTGTGAAGAAAAYATTGATGTTTGGTCGTTGACACGTTTCGCAGAAAAACAGCACTGCTGAAAGACATTTTACAGGAAGCCACGTGACAACAGAAGACAGTGTGACAATCAATAGCGTGACAATKAGGCTCCTGTCACGCAAGGATTGATTAATRTTCTGCGCGTCTGGGTGACTTTTCATGGCCTTGATAACAATGGTGATGTAGTTGAACAGGATGATGCAGAGACTCGTAGCTATGACAACCAAAAAGCAAAATCCAAGCTTTTTACTTTGGGGGAAGATGAAGTTAAAACTTGCAATGATGACCGCTAGGGACCACGGGAACGACGAGAGGCAAGCGTAAAACTTGAATCGGGTAGTAAGGTGTCTCAATGGAAAAAACACAGCGCGGAATCGCTCTATGGAAATCACCGCTAACGTRAGAATAGACGCAAAGCCAGTTAACGTATCCATAAAATCTAGCCAACGGTTATACGTGCTATGCGTAATCGTAAGAAAAAACGCCGTGTTCATTAACGTAACAATCCCGACGCCACAGTCCGCTACGGAAAGACAAATAAGAAGATAGTGACATCGTCTGCGAAGTGACTGGGTCTTAACAAACGTCACTATGGAGGCCAGGTTACCAAGTATAATGACGACACCGAGGACTACCAGTGACGTCACTTGAATGATGATCGTCACGTGACTACGATGAAAAAAGTTTCTGCTCGATGTGTTGACTGTAGAGGTGTTGTTCATACTTCCTGTTTTTCCCTTGAAAGCAAAGAATAAAAAATTGAACTACACTTTTTGCTTGTATTTTGGTTTAGGGCCAGCAAAAGCGATTTCTCATCTCATTTTGGCGCTCATGAAGCTAGCCGGTTTTGATTATCTCTAAAGTCTGATTGCAACTGCTACTTAAATATCAGGGCAAAACTTTGGAGGGTACTGTATGGTTGGGGTGATGGGGACACTTTGTGGGGTCCTTAATGACTCAGTGTGCGAAATGTCCGAAATGACCGAAATGAAATGAAATGAAAATGAAATGAAATGAAAATGAAATGAAAAAAATGAAAAATGAAAATGAAATGAAATGTCCGAAATGACCTTATCACTTGTAACCTTTAAAAAAAGCGGGTATAAACTGTACAGCTGATTATATGGGAACTTGATGAAGACAAACAGGTTGCTTGGCTTTTCAAGGTGTTCAAATAAAACACACATTATAAGTTAAACTATGCAGTAAGACAGTTTCCTACAACCACGAAAAAATTCAAAATCTGATTGCATTGATCTACTTGTTTGAAATTCGCCGATTTTGAAAAATTGGCGTAGAATTGAGTATGATATTTTTGTGAATGTGATAAGAGGATACCTGTTAGTTTAAGGTTTCGATATTGAAGAAAATTTTCGCGGAAGGTACTAATTGACTTGTAGGCCATTTAATTAATTCAAAAAAAAAAAAAAGAAATTCAAAATCTGATGATTGCATTGCCTTGTTTGAAAATCGCCGATTTGGAAAAATTGGCGTAGAATTGGGTATCATTTTTTGGGGAATATGATGAGAGGTTTTCTATTAATTTCTATAGTTCGATATTGAAGAAAGATTTTGTGCAAATGATTAGCTTGTTGGTCATTTATCTAATTCAAAATCTGATTGCAATTGTACCGTTTTTGAAATTCGCCGATTTGGAAAATTAGGCGTAGAATCGACTTAACAAATATTATTATTTTGCTTCAATTGTCTTTTTACGCGAAGTCTCATGATAAATTTGGTTGTAAAACTGCGATTCCGACCTCGATGTTTCTTAATTTCCTAGTAMTCTATATTATTCGTTATAACAAGGCCGATCGTGCATATCGTTACAATGTATAACAAAAACCCTACTACAATARGAATAAAAGGTAAATATTTTCGTTTTAACTCCTTATTTTAACTCTTTGTTAGCCATCCTTATCTGAATGACTGTGGAACTCAAAGCAAAGCTTTAAGAAATAATTACGAGTATCATTTCAAAAATTCCAGTCACTTACCTTTAAAGGCTGGCTTCTTAAAAGGAAGTAATTCACAAATACAGCTGCAAATAAATAAATACACCAATGTCCTTTTAAAAAGACCTCTTAACTATCTTAGTAGTGACAATTCGGTAAAAACCCAAAAAAAATAAGCTGTCGAATCTTATTTCTTCCTGGAATTGAAGTGGAAAAAGTATTTGCTATTATACTACACAAGAACACAGCATGACAGATGTATGTCAGGCCTACTGCTAGTACTTCACACTAGATATTGGGGCTTTATTATAAACCAATGYAATAATTTATTTACACAGCATCTTTGATAGACACAGGATGTTACTTCGCAACGTCATTGGCTYCAACTGAAAATAGCTTTTCAATATATAATCTTAAAGCTTACAGAGMAAATAATATGGTTGTAAAAATTAATTACCAGGAAAAACTGGTACTATTTGTACAAAAGGTACATAAAGCTSTCCGCTCTATAGATATCTCGTATGGATTTTATCAACTGGTTAATAAATAATCCTGTGGATAGCGCTGTTCACTCCATACAATCTAGTATGGTAATTTTTTGGACAATAACTACACTTTCTATGCAAGTACCAGTTTTTTGTTTGCACAGTTACAAGTCAAACAACGTATTATTGGTTTAATGAATTTTTCATATCAAAAAGTTTACACGTTTCAAACTCAGGCTTTATGGAATAAAATAATATAGTTTTTGAGTTAACACAATTGACACAATTTTCGAGTTTGATATATGAAGTTAATCAGTTTTATACGTAAAAATGTTTGTTAATATACAAAGTCTTGATGTAATGGTGTATCATATATYATTACCATAATCTTTTTTTTATAACCTTTGCACACACAGTTTATTTTCATTAACTCCATGCKACGCGAAAAATAATTACTTTTAAATGACGCGGATGTTAACGGTTGATATGAAACATGCTCCCCAAAACATTTYCTTTTATCAATTAACTAAATTAAATTTCTTAATTTTGTATCTTCTGACAGGTTGTTTTCATAGTTTATTTCGTAAAACCCACAACTCAGTCCTTCAAGGTACTTCATTTAAAGGTGTGAACCGCTTCTGAATACTTTGTAAATATTAATTTCCAACGCTCTGCGTTGGACAACTAAGCACTCATAAAGTCACAAAACAATCGAGGTCAGGTGATAAAATTTACAGGAACAACATACCAGATGGAAAAAAATGTTGGGAAAATGTCAACGGATCAAGCTAAGCCAAAGAGAATTTTGGGTACTCGCGAATTTTAAACTATACTTCCATGGACATTAGAAAGTGTGCAGAAACTGAATATGATAATTCGGTGAACATACTTTTTAAGATCGGCTGTGTGAATTATATTTTAATAATTGTTAAGTCGATATTTTTTGTAGCGATAAATAATAAACTCGGCTTTGACAAATTTTCTTCCTATGAGATCCCTTGCTCGAACTATAGATCGTTCTCTCCCACTATCAGCACCGCGGCGAGAAGGAAGTTTCGCGTTGCAAATCAGTATAAAGGCGGCTAAATACGAGATACAAAAACCATCAACTTGGCGCTCAACATTGTTTCTGTTAAAGTTGAGTATCAAAGTTTCTCGTTTTTCATGCATCGTCAACTTGTTATGCAACAAAAATACATCGTGAAAAACGAGAAACACCGATGCTCAACTTGAACAGAAACAATATTTCGCGCCAAGTTGAGGGTTTTTGTTTCTCGTATTTAGCTGCCTTAACACTGAAAGAATTGCTTAAGCCCTGGACTACATATGTAGGTCTTTTGCCAGACCACAATAACTGGCCGCACGTAACTATGTCTTCAGAGCTGATAAGGACTGGAAACTAAGAGCCCCTGGCGAAATTCAYATGCTCCAAACGATTGTAAATTATTGAAAAAGACCAGAAGTACTTCTGAAAAGACGTAATTGAATTTCAGAATTGTAATAAAAAAGTTGATTTTTTTAATTGAAGATTCGAAATAAGACCATAACCAACCGTGCATTGAACTAAAAGAGACTCAGTTAWATTAAAAATATTACAATAAAGTTGATTGAATTTTTTATAATTAAATTTTCTAAATGAGACCATACCAGTGTACTTTCTCGTCATTTGCATGAAAGAGAGACTGAAACTAAACTTTGTCCATTACAAGATCAATCTCTGGCGCAAATCCAAAGAACTTTACCTGCTTCAAAGAATTAAGCGGGAKATTCATGAATAAAGACCCACTGAGAACAATATTCAAGAAATACAGTAAGTTTAAAAACATGGCCGTGCTGGCACGTTAAATATTTTGTATTGGTTCTTTCTTGAAAACCTCTTCCTTCCGCGATTTATAGCACCTTTCATATATATTGGATTAATGGCTAAGAGGTGAAATATWGTTACACGGTTACCAAGACACCTACTGCCCTGTATCTTAACTATTATGTTGTCTGTTTTCACTAAACATTTTGATCATTGACAATCCTCAATTTTCGCTTCATGTATTTTAATCTATTGGAGTTTATAATAACGACTGGTCAACCTACATCTCTTTTCGCGCACGTTGCGTAGACTATTTGGCTAATAAGCACATGTCAGGGACCGCTATAAATACTTTGGATTGGGAGCTAACGACGGCCGAAGGGGGGAGAATTAAGGGGGGTCTGGGGGAGTGTTAAGAGGGGTCTGGGGGTCCCCCAGGAAATTTTGAAGTAATTAATCTTGGAAGTGCGAATTCCAGCGTTTTGAGGGGCATCGAAAGCATATAAAAGGCATCAAATTTATATTAATATTAATTCCTTGCCACTAGCACGCACGTGTGTGTATGCTTTGCTGTTAGCAATGGTTACCCCGTTTTGTCGTCTCTCAGCTTTATAAACTCAATCGGTTGGTTTGCTCCAAAAATATAAAAACCCAAAATACTATCTTTTATTAATGACCCTCTCTTCAATTGAGGAATAATTAGTGCAGAAAAGTGTTAATTGACAAAAAATTACAATTAAAAAGTTTCCTTTCATCTAGAACTGTAGGCTATCATCCATAATTGCTACATGATGGTCGTCGATGTGGTCTTCTTCTTTATGTGCTTGTTTATTCCAAAAACCCTCTGTCAATCTCACTGCGTTGGCACCTGCTATTCTGGACAACTTTTCCCAGAGCCCCAAGACATCTTCCATGGAAAACATCTCAAGGGATACTCCTACAAGAACATCACCACTGATGATCCAGTGAAGTGCTACTCATCTTGTGTCCAAGATTGTCGTTGTAAGGCGTGCCAGATGAAAGATACAAGATGTGAGTTGCTGGATGAGGACAAGGCTTCCAAGGCTGACAGTTTCACTGCTGAGCCAGGATACGTGTACTTTGATCTCAAGCAGACGATGTATCAGGGGGTAGGACTGCCCTTTCTTTTTTTTTAATTATTGTTATTTTTGTTTGCTAACGCAAAGTTTTGCTTCACACAGTCTTCTCACATGGTACCACCAGGTGTTCAATGCTATAATGGCTGCTGTCGATCTCATCCTTGCATGAACGGAGGGACATGCGTAGAAACCTGCAAGTCACCAAAAGAAAAGTTCACCTGTACTTGCCCACAAAGGTTCATTGGAAAAGTATGTGAAGTCAAGGTTGCTTCTTGCATGGATGTCRTGCGTTCTTCAAAGAGATTACCAAAAAACGGAGTTTACACCATAACACGGTCTGATTTGAGTACCGTAATTCCCGTTTATTGYGCTTTCAACAAGCCAAACCAAGCATGGACTTTGATCGAGTCGTTTTCTCTCAAAAATAGACAGAGATTTCAAAGCGTGCCGTTTTACGTAAATGGGAAAGCTACAAACTCTGACATCCCTCCAAACTGGACAGCCTTCAGAAGCGGCATTGCTAGAATGAAATACTTTCGATCCAAGTCCACCTTGTTTAGAGCCACTTGTGACTTTCCAAACAGAGTTTCTTTGACACCGGACCTTCTGATTGGTCGGTTGAGTGACGTGGACATTATGAACGAGAAAGACATTCTAGGATGTAGAAGGTACAAGTTTGTCGACATAAGGGGGTACAACTGCACCAATTGTACAGTGCTGACAGGGTACGGCAAGTCGCATTCATGGCACTTTCACCTCGATGTTACATGGAATRWGTGCGACTTCAGGCCACCTTRCAAGACCAAAGACGTCGACAGTTTTGGCAACTATGCCGTCTTTGARGARCAATCAAAATGCACGGCAACACCCCAGTCTACCACACAGTGGTGGTTTGGAGAAGAGAAATAATCAAAATACACTGCAATACCCCAGTCTTCCACACAGAGGTGGTTAGAAGAGAAATAATCAAAATACACTGCAACATCTTGAATCCAAGCCATTTCTACGAATATTTGCCAAGAAAACTAGCATTGACATGAAAATATTGCTCAATTACATCAAATAGTTGATCAAATTGCKATCTGGCAACGATTTCAGCTTGTTATGACTCTCATTGTATTCATTATTTCCTTAATTTGCTTTCTTAGATGCACTAGAGCAAATGCAGGAAACCATGGTTTTCCTGCGTTTGCTTAGTTGATTGCAAGTTAAGTTGTACAATATGAGCWATCAAGAGAAGACAAGTACCCCATCCCCTTTCCTCCCACACACTCACGTACGTCTTCTTGGACCCTTTTCTTCCAATAAATAATGGCATCAGGTTTTAGAATAGAGCTAAAAGAAGGACCAGTGGTCTGACCAACTACCCACAAGCTATTCTAATAAAAATAATAATCAATGAAGCCAAATTATTTTATTTCTTATGCTCCAAAAGATGTTATTCAGAATCTTCAATCTCAATTTCTCCCTCGTTGATCTTGTCAATGACGTCATGGGGYGGCTGTCCCTCGACAGTGCACCCAACTGACTGACATGTTCCTAAGATCTCCTTTACGGTTCCTTCTAGTTTGCGTGCTAAAGATCTTGGACGCATTGTCTTGGCRATGTCAATCACCTGTTCAAGGCTGATGTTGCCATTGTGTTTGACTAAAAACAAAAAAATGAAGGGCTGATACAAAACAAATTTCAATATTATAAAGTTAATCTCATTAAAGAGCCATGGTCAACAAGCAATCCATTACTAACTTTTGTTAAAAAAAAAGGCAAAAAGCTACTCTCTATTGTCACAATATGATCTTTGATTGGGATATTGTAAGATTTGATCAGAATGGATGGAGGGATGGAAATGGATTGAGAATGGATATTTGAAGTAACATCATTTTATGTTACATGAAAAAATGCCCAATTGTGGTCCATGACATAAGAGGAGAGAGTGCTGAAGGTCGAGGGGAGGGTTGATAGAAAATAACACATTAACAATTTATGCTTTAATGATTAATAACAAACAAATTCCAAGACGATTTCTTACCACAGTCATTAAAATAGATTCCAAAAATAAAAACAACAACAAAACAACAACAACAACAAAAAAAAAACAATAATAATATATTTAAATAATAATTCATACTCACTGTTTTTAACCTTCTTCCTGTCTCTTGGTGGTTCCTTCAGTGCCTTAATGACCAGTGATGATGCACTTGGAACTACAGACACTTTAGCTTGTCTGTTTTGGATGGTCAGCTGGACGGTAATCCTAAGACCTTTCCAGTCTTGAGTTCCCTTGGCAATGTCATCACCAACTTTCTTGGGAGACTACAAAAATAAAAAATACTTATAACTATTTGAATTATTCA